CCTCCTCTCTCTCTCTCTCTCTCTCTCTCTCTCTCTCTCTACCGCCTGTGTGTGTCACGTAAGTTGGTGTCACACGGAACCTTCGCTGCGCCGACAAGAAGTCAGATTAGCCACCTAAACGTTTTAGTCTCCGGGTAGGCAGGCATCTCCTCTTTTTCATCTCTGGACACATCGTCATCAACGAGAGGAAGAATTCTTCACGCTGCTGTCATCTTTCGACGAACTATTTGTCCATCGATGCAGACCGGTCTTCTGCGAGTAAAGGGAGCACCGAGTGATATCATGGTAACTATATCGATTGCCATGGAAATGTTGTCGTAAATTATACGAGCGACGTATATACGATGATCATCGATGATCACCAAAAAGAAACACACCCAAAGTGGCAACAAAGGAGCGCGCAAACAAGCAATTTGACTTCCTTCATCCGAAGGCACCACCTACAATAGCGAAAAATGAGGAGGGAGTGACATTGATGAAGAAAAGCTACTACTCCGTCTCGTTTTCCTGAGTCGCTGATGGTTTGTCCGCTTCGCTATTCTCTTCTGCGCTTTGTGGTGCCTGCGCAGAAATTTGATTTCTTTAGCTGTCTGATATATATGGTGTTTCTGTTCGTCTGCTACAAATCCATACAAGATTTATAACCATGATCACAGACTGCACCACAGAGCTAAGATTGCAATATCTACGTCTAAATTTGTGTTCATTCTAGAAGATTTCTCTGTTCATTGTTAAGGATGCTAGATTATATCTTTGAACACAAAAAAAGGAAATAATTCTAAACTTTGCCTCTTGTTTCTCGTGTCTGCACACTAAGAAATTAAGAAAATATTCGATCGATCGATCGATCGATCCTACAAAAATAATTGAAGGGAGTTATGATGATAGAAAAACATGTAGTCATGCAAATGCCAGTAATACTATGTTCTATGTATCCACGTGAGCTCATGTACAACAATCGAACGCATACACTGAGGCTTAAGCTTATATGATTCCTACGAGGCTTTCGTACCTGCAACTGCGCTTCCATACTCTTCTGCCTTTCTTTCTCTCTCAGAGATCGAACCGGCGAAGTCATCTGCGACCAAAATATTATCTTAAGCATGGTTAACGACAGCCCAAAAACAACACTATGATCGTTGAGATCATTTAAATTCACGTTGTCAGCTCATCGACCGAGCAGATCGAATTTGTAATCGGGGAAGGCTTCCCTACCTGCGACTGCACTTCCGCACTCTGTTGATGTTCTTGATGTCTTAGAGATTGAACGGATGACGGAATCTGCAACCAAAATTTTTTGTGAAAGTGAAGACGTCAGAACTCAGCGAGGGCGCCATGAATTGCTGAAGAGGTGAAGAAAACGGGGGTCTTCACCATGGAACAGGATATCAAGTCCTGAAGCTTGATCAGCAGGCGAAGCTCCAGCTCCAGGTTGCGCTGTTCCTCGGCTCGCTTTTCCAGCTCCACCGCCCACCTCTGCATCACCGCGTCCCTCTCCCGCAGCACCTCCTCCGTCTTCTCCCTATCCGCCCGGAGCCGGTCCCTCATCTGCCGGACCGCCGCAAGCTCCTCGGCCAGAGAAGCCTCCCGCGGTCTCGCTTCGGGCTCCGGCTCCGGGGGCAAGATCGGGCAGTTCTCCTTGCCAGGGCTTCCTTTGATCGGCGGAGGAATCCGGAGTGCGATCGGTTTGGGCTTCGGCTGGAGCCCGGCGGTCGTGGAGAGATTGAAGTTCCTCGGCTGGAGGGGCTTCCGGCGGGGCGTCGGCGTTGCGGCGGCCTGGGAGTCCATGTGACCGAAATGGGAGATTTGAATTCGAATGGCAAGAGTGGCAACGGCTACTACTAAATCAGTGGGAGCTCGAGTGGGTTTAAACCTTTTTTTCCTTCAACTTACCTGGTCCCACCTTACCAGTCACACCAACCGGCCTCGAGATGTGGAGCCCACGACGAACCATCAATGGGTTACCGCTGTGGGTATGCGGATATTCGAGAAAAAGGAGATGTGGAACCTACTTTTTTTTGAAGCTGTCGGCTTTGACTCGAACTGAGAGTCATTGCGATTCTAACGTGGCATGGCTGGTCAAACGAGATGACCATGGTCAACGTGGCTCGCCGTCCCTTGACTACAACGTGTGCTTTATGGGCTGTCAAAGATGATCGCGCTGATGAGGTGGATTTTTGTTTGGATGTTGGATGCTTTCTTGTTGATATACAAAAGATTTGAAATGTGTTGTGATATATCAAAAGATTTGTTTTATGAGAGCGTACCTTCTCTGCCATCCCACACGTGTCTCGACACATTGCCACGTGACAGCCGAAGTCCCCACCATAGTGACTCCCGTCCATGCATGCCCAGCTCCACCCAAAGCGTCGTCTTCCCTCCGCCATGGAGTCCAGCGGCGTTTTCCGTTCTATCAACGTTCCTTTTCCTTCCCTGTTTTCTTGCCCTAAACCAGCTCCCACCTCCTCCCTCTGCAACTCTTGTGCGTCTCACAAGAGCGTCTCAACCCCTCCTTTGCCGGTGGCGACGTCGATTAGATCGCCATTATCGAGTCGGCTGAGGCGTAAGGCTCGCATGGCGCCACCGCTCAAAAGCGAGAGCATGCAGTGTCAGCTGAGACCGGATCCGGCTTCGGGTTGGGATGCAGAAGACGATACGGTGTTCGAGGAGGAGACAGAAGAAGAAGCATTAGAGGAGGACGAGGAGGGGAGGTGGATGGAAGAGGTGGAGGAATTGGAAGAGGAGGTAATCACGAGGCAGGACGATGGACGGGAGCCGAAGGATTATGACCGAAGGGCGCAAATCTTTGACGAGAGCTCAAAGGTCTTTCGATCAAGCAAGGATCGTAATGGGCATCGCCATGATATATAGAAAGAGACATGATGTTGTTGGAACTGCCGTTAGATAGTTAGATGTATGCTACAACGAGAGTAGGTTGTATTATAGTGTTCTCGGTAGTCATGAAGTAAATTAAAAGGGATGGTCGTATGCATCTACTTGATGTTTTGGTCGATGCATGCATCTTTTGCTTATAAAGAGGATGATGTCTTGTTCATACGGATTCTTGTTCTGACTCGCAACACACTGCGTCAAACATATGATTCGTGGAAGGCTTTCCATCTGTTGATGCGGTTCACCCACTTGGGATGTGTGCTCCTCGTAAACGACTTGCACGGCAGCACACCTCTTACGAGTGCTGTGTACAGGCCGGAATCAAGATCACCGAGGACATCAAAGGCTCCTCGTACTAGTTGCTTCGATCAATGTTCTTTTGATCTGTATTTTCATGAAGCTAATATTTGAGAAATGTCCCTATTTGGATGTAACTATCCTCAATTTTGTGACATAAATAAATCATCTGTTACCTGATTATGCACATATTCTACCAATCATAATATGGTAGGGTAGATCAGAACATGTATTTTGGTGGGAGTCAGTAACCATTGTATTTAACCAACAATCTAGCTAATTATAGATTAGCTTATGTAGTTATATTTGTTTAGTGTTTGATCGTTAGATTTTAAAATTTAATAATAAAATTTATATAGTTATAAAAGTAAAATATTTAATCTTATTTATTCTAATATCATTGGTTTTATTGATGAAAGATATAGCACGTAATAGTATATGCATGTGACATAGATGAGTAAAATCAACAATGAACTGATATTGTGAGTAGTTGTTACGGTGGTGGTCGATAACAACGATGCGGTAGTCGGTCTTATCGATATCAATCTAAACATTAATTATGAGAAGAAAAATGAGGGAGATGAGGCATCTGCCTCAATGCCACATCACTCTGCCTTCTTTTTATCCTTTAGAGTCACTCGCATTTGTTAGTGTTGGAGGAGGTAAGTGAAGCACTGAGCTCAAAGCCTTGGATGGTCACTTCATTCAATGGCACGATGGATTCAAGGAAAGAGCGATGGGCGGTGAGGAGTCTTAGTCGTGAGCGAGCACGGCGAAGAGGTGTTCCTACTTCGAGCTCTCAAGCTTTAGTTGGCTTGCAAATGATGTGTATACTTCGACCACGATTACGTGGTTGTCAACTTGCTTCCAGATCAACACTGCTTGCGATTGGAGGGGATTCGATCGGATGACGAGGATTGATCATTGTATAAAATGGAGGCTCGAATAGTACAACCACCACATCCATTCATGACGTCATCGTCCATTATCACCGTTGAAATTATATTTTTTATCTATCATTTTCGTATCATTCATGTATTTGTTATATCTTCTGTCGATAAAATTAAGGATAAATGAGATTAAATATTTTATTTTTATAATTATAAATATTTTTAATATATTTTTAAATTTAAAAATAAAATTTTAAAAAATATAATTATAAAAAAATTATATGTAATTAACCCCAACTAACTTAGTGCAAAAGAGTCATGAGTTCTGTTTTCTAAGCCATATTACCATCATGAAAATGCCACTCTGTTTCTTTTGTCGACGAGAAGGATGAGCACATGTCTTACCACGCTGGCGACAGATCAGCCTTAAGTCCGATTGCTTCAAACATGCCGTGTCCAGGTTGGTCCACCAGCGGCAGCTTCATGAGTTCGTAACGTGACACATCGCCAGTGAGTGTCGTCAGCCCATGGCCCGCCTCCCTCCGTGGGTTCTCTTCTTGTTAGGGTCTCTTGTTGCCCTTTTCCGTATATAAGGAGCTGCCTGTGTGGCGCCCATAGGGTTTGCAGCGTAGATCTGATCCTTTGCCGGCGGGTGCAATAATGGAGAGGCGTAAGTTGTTCCATCTCTACCTCGTCGTTTGCAATGCGTTAATACTTTCGATCATCGTGTCTATTGTGGTCGTTCGATGGATGAAATATATCACCGAAATTGGTCACTGATCAGAAATAATATCTAGTTTTATTGACACGATAGGCAATATATTATCTTCCAGTGTTTGGTCCCATTCCATGAATTTTGATGGTATGAATGATTCTGTTCCCGTCTTGATCGATTTGATAATATATCTGGCATTGTTTATAGATTAAATTTCAAGAAGTTTTTTCTTTCCTGAAACTTGAGTATTTTTAATTTAAAATCTCAATGCGATTTTTTCATTACAAACCCTACTCATGAAAAAAAAAAAGACCTTTGCCTCAATGATGAAGTGAGATAAAGACTGTTGTATAATTATTTTATTGACCATTAAAAAATTAATAGTTGAAATTATCTTTAAAATGTTACACATAACAGATCATGAGAAGAAAATATATAATTGTAATTAAGATCATTTGGCACATAAAAATGCATCTACGTAATTAACGAAACAAAAAAAAAGGGACAACTGGAAAGTAGATGGTGCAAAATAGAGGATCCTGGAATATGATAGTGTATGGTTTACTTTAGAACGTGTGGAAGTTTGGAGGCCTAAGATAAAGTAAAAGTTTCTTCTGAGTTATGATCAATGGTATAACTCATAGGAGTAGGGTTTTTTTGGGGGGTAAAGAAAATGGGGGCTTGAAGGTTATTACAAAATTCTTTAACAAATGAACAGTAGGCTCCGCATTTAAGAGGTCACAAACATTAGCAGGTAAATTTCAAAAAGATGAATTGAGGGCTGTGTAACTTCTCATTGAGTTTTTCCAACAGCTATGGTGTTGGCTATATAAGAAAGCAATCTTTTGAATATTGCAGTGCATATCGTAGGTGGAAAGAACAATGTTATCAACCCTCATGTGAGATCGAGTACAACGTTCAAAAGCTGATGAGGGCCAACAAATCTCTCTCCATGCACATTAGTAGCACTATAGGTTGCGATCATGCCTCAACTGCAGGTGGCAAGACAGTTGAGGTGGCTAACCCACCAGCTACGATGAATTACTAATGTCAGGTAATTATACCTGCAGCCTGAAAAGTGGTATTATGAGATACATTTTCATTTATATTTTGCATATTGTCGGTAACTCAATAAGGTGTTTGAAGGATAAATGCATTTGTCAGAAAAGCCTGCATTGAAATAATCTGTCTGCTATGCTTTTAATTCTATACTTATGAAAAGATGCTTATGATATGTATTCTGCTCCAAAATGGAATTTGTTGTTTCTTAGAGTCTGTACTATGAATTCTTGGACAATTGTGTACAACATAAATGCATTTTTTCAAAACCAGGGACACTTAGAAGGTTTATGCTTAGTTAAAAAGACTTAAGATCATAGAGATTAGGCATCTCATGATGTTTATGTTCCTTTTCTTATTTTCCTTGAGATGGCTATTCTTCATGTAGGACCCGCAAGATGTTATCGCCAGATTAAGAATAAACCATATCCAAAATCACGGTACTGCCGTGGTGTTCCAGATCCTAAAATTAGGATCTATGATGTTGGAATGAAGAAGAAAGGAGTTGATGAGTTTCCCTTCTGTGTTCACCTGGTGAGCTGGGAAAAGGAGAATGTTTCCAGTGAAGCTCTTGAGGCTGCTCGTATTGCATGCAACAAGTATATGACAAAGTATGCTGGAAAGGATGCTTTCCACTTACGAGTGAGAGTTCACCCATTCCATGTTGTACGTATCAACAAAATGCTTTCTTGTGCTGGGGCAGATAGGCTCCAGACTGGGATGAGGGGTGCATTTGGGAAGCCTCAGGGGATGTGTTCGGGTAAGCATTGGTCAGGTCCTTCTGTCTGTTCGCTGCAAGGATAGCAATATCAATCATGCACAAGAAGCCCTTTGTCATGCGAAGTTCAAGTTTCCTGGCCGTCAGAAGATAATCATCAGCGGAAAGTGGTAAGCCTTAAAAAGGGAGTCCAATTGACTAGGCATACAAACCAGTCCGGATTTATTATTGGTGTGAAATTCATCCTTGCTCTAGGTGCTATTTTCCTTATATACAAAATTCCAGTTTCTGACATCTGGTCTAACCATGTTAAAAACAAAATATTTTAGGCTATTATATGATCGCCAGAAACATGTCTCCTTTTTGCTTGTGTGGTTTCTGACACGACATTATAATTGTCAGGGGCTTTACTAAGTTTAGCCGTGCTGAATATGCGAAATGGAAGAGTGAGAACAGAATCATTCCAGATGGTGTCAATGCCAAGGTAAGTTTTATTTCAGACAAAAACTTGATCGTGCTGCCTTATACATTACCTGTGTCAACCTGTTTGAGTTTCCATAGGCTTACAAGCTGATTTGTTGGTTGGTGTTTACCATAATTTCACTTTGTGGGATGTGTGCTTTGCACTTGCAGAGGATTGTGGAGTCCGCGCTTTCAACTCTTAGTATCAGTTTCTTTTGAATGCCCTATAGGGTTGATATATTGAGATTTCAAATGGGCAAAAAAGAAGGGTTGGCTGCATGGCATGTGCAATGCACACGAGGTTGGGTGGGCTACTCTATCCTCTTATGTGCCATGAATGCTTTCCAACACTACAAAAAAAGTTTTCTGTAGATCATCAAGTTTGTCATTACGTTTTTCGGCTTAGTTCCTTTTTCCTGCTATTCAGCTGTGTAAAATGTCAGTACATGAAGTAATTGTCCCCGAACACCATGTTACGGCCTAACCACCCATCTGGTAGTAATTTTCTCCCCACAATATATTGCTTGCCTCATTCAGATGTTTCGCAATGGTCGCGGAAAACCACATCTGATGTTCATCTTAAGAATTCCATTTTTGTCATCTATTATCCACCTAGAAAACGATATGGTTTCTTATCGACATGTCTTGATCGTGCAGTTACTTGGGTGCCATGCCCACTTGCTAATCGTCAACCTGGAAAGGCTTTCTTGAGCGCCGCTGTGGCAGAAGCTTCATAGAATCTGTCAGCTGGAGGATGATGAAAGCTCTGGTGGTTTTGAGATTTTCTTGCTATCAGCTTAGTTTTGCAGGTTTATTATGTCCATTTTTTTCTATCAGATTTTCTTTAAATTTATTTTGTGTCTTGTGGTGGCAACCTTTATTTCTTCGATTGATGTGTTTATGTAGGCGATTGGTGTATTGGTTTTTCTTTTCCTCGCTCCGGACATATCCAGTTAGGTGGATATATTTTGTCATGAAGTCGAGCATTCAGTCACATATTATGGTTTGATCCTGCACGTCGACAGAATACGTAGCTGGGTATGGATTCCCTTCGGTAGCTCGCTGGTCATCGGTTTGCCTAAGTTCGAGCTGGAGGCCATCGTGTGGTTGGTTGCTTGCCGGGCTTAGTAAACAAACATGGCGGTCTAATTGTAGGGTATGGAGAACAAAACCTGGGAAATAACAATTTGGTTGGCGCCGAGCACGTTAGGGGGAAAATAAAATTACTTATTTTGTTGTTCTTATTTGTTGGCATTCAACCACGAGCGGGTCGATAAGGCATTCCTAAATTATAACGCTCTCGGTTGATCCTTCCGCTTCCGTCGATCTCACCCAAATCGGACAAACAGGAGAGAGAGAGAGAGAGAGAATCCTTGGCTGCAAGAAAACAAACACCTCATAACAATTCGTTGTCCCCTTCCCTGCCTTCCTCCCTCGAGGCATCCCCTCCACTGCATTGATCCTCCCGAATAGGGTTTTGGATTGACCCCCAGGAATCCCGCTGCATTGATCCCAACTTCCGATTTCTCCTCTGCAAATCTTAACCGGGATCCGTTGATGCCCGTCTTCGCTTCATAGATCGCCGTTTCTTGAGCTTCCGCGGCTTTGGCCCCCGCACTATGGAAACCCCCGGCGGAGACTCCGATCCGTACGGGTCTCGGTTTCCCTCCTCCTCCGCCGGCGGGGGCATCAGTGGTGGCCCTTCGAGGAGGTACCGTGTCCCTTTCTCGGCGAATCTCATCCACGCGCCTTTGTCGGCGCTCTTGGAATACTCCGGGATCTTGCGTCCTGGTGCCAGCCAATCGGAGACGGAGAGCTTGATTCCGCTGCCGGAGCTGAATCTTGCCCAGGTGGATGAGTCGTCCGTATCCGCCGTTGCTGACCGTGGCGAGGTGTCGATTAGGATCATTGGGAGTGGCGATCAGGAGAGTCTCCGGATGGCGTCGACCCAGCCGCAGCCTTCGACTGCCTGGTCTGGTGGACAGGGTAATTCTGGCGGCCGCGGTGTCTCTGGTGAATCGAACCCTGCTTTCTCAGAGAGGCACCGAGGAGGAGATGGAGGGAGCAATAGCGGGGTCGGAGAGGCAGCCTCCTCGTCCGCATCTTCTGTGTCAGCATCCATCGCGGCTGTTGATGGCCCGAGCACGGACGCGGAGGCGAGTATGACGGGTGGTCGCAACAGGGATTCATCGTATCAGAGATATGACATTCAGCAGGTTGCACGGTGGATCGAGCAAATACTACCGTTCTCGTTGCTTCTTTTGGTGGTCTTCATCAGACAGCATTTGCAAGGTAATGTCAGTTGCATCTTATGTTCTTGGAAAACTCTGAGAATTATCTGTTATGGAAATAAAGTCTTGGTTTGCTTTAGTTTGTTTTTCTCTGACTATTCAAAGCTGATTTTGTTGAAAAACTGCAGGCTTTTTCGTTACGATTTGGATTTCAGCAGTGATGTTTAAATCCAATGATATCTTGAAAAAACAAACTGCTTTAAAGGTTTGTTGGTTTTACTACATAACGATTTCTTTTCATCCTATGTGCCACTTGTCATTCATTTTTCATCATCCTATCATATTGAGACAGTTTTTTTGAATAAAGAACCAGCTTGTCATATGTTTTTCCATAATTTTTACAACCATTTGCTACATCATAGTAAACCAAATTTGTTAATGTAGTTGCATTCAAGAATGCTATTAAATAATAATTACAAATCATGAATTTGTGTCTCTTGTCTTCTCTGTGGTCACTTGTGAATTGCAAAGCCTGTTTGTTGACAGATGTTTTGGGTGGGTGGTAGTTGTTGGGTTCAACATAGATGGTAAAAATTTATTGGCTGACAATGCTAATTTGTCGACTGAATTGATGGTTATACAATTTAAACCTACTCTACATTGAAGATAAATAGACCGCACCCATTTTCTAATTATTCAGACAGTTTAGTTCTATGCTCTTTTTCTATTTAATTATTGAATTCTGTAAGGGATATAGTCAAGATTTTTGTTGAACTTTTATGCTTATGAGTTTCAAAGTCTTGGAGGTGCTTTCGAGATCTCTATAATAACATATTTAAGAAATGTTCAGAGACTCTAGAAACTTAGTTGACACACATTACACATTTGCCTTGACTAATGGTCTTTGGGATATTGAATGAGAGTTGCTCCTAGATCGGTTGCTTCAAATGATTTTTAATGTGGAGTGTAACTATTTCATAGACTTCAGCCACCCATTATCCATATCGACAATGGTAAGCTTTGATTAGCTGTTCTTGGTGAAATTGAAGGAATTGAGGTAGAAAACTTTAAAGGAACTGCCCATTTGATAACCCAATTATCAATGCATGCATTCGTGACCCCCCTATGACTTGATCTCTACAACCAATTTCTACATAGTTAGTACTTGGTAATGCAGATTGATTTCCTTGTCAGATGGCTGGATTGATAACAAGCAGTTCCTTGTTGGATGATTAGATTGATATCCACTGTTTGTTAATGGTTTGAGACCTGTGCTTCTAAGAAGCAGCAATTCATGAAGACAGGTCAACCATTCAACAATGTTAGTTTGCTATTATATATTTATATTAGTTTTTAGGGGCACTTTTGGTATTGCAAAGTTCTCATTTTTTTTCACTTATGTAGCATTGGGTAGACTCATGCTTATTAATACTTGGTTCGTTCTCACATTTACTGGTTATTGGTCTCTGCAGGGAGAGCGAAAATTGACTGTGCTTGTTGGAACTGCATTTTTCTCCATGTTACATATATTTGGCATCTACTGGTGGTACCGAAATGATGATATCTTATACCCACTTATCATGTTTTCTCCCAAAGCAATACCACAATTTTGGCATGCCATATTTATTATCTTGGTCAATGGTATCCACTGATCTTAGTTAACCCTTCCAAATATTATACTTTCGGTTGCATGTACTTGTTATATGTCGAGTGAAATTTCTTTCTTGTCTAAGATTTAATTCTCCGCCTTTCATGATGTCATATATTTATTTTCTTTCTTGCATAAGGTAAATTAATTAAGCTTTCGTAACTTTAGAGTCAAATGAAAAATATTCATGTATTCTTTAAGAACGCCCTTTTGCATGTCCTATTCCTCTATGTAGGTTTATGTTGTGCATCAGTCATGCTGGATTTCACAATTACCTGTGGTCATATAGGTAAAAATTTGGTTTTCTTGGATTTGGAAGCCAAAAGTTGCAGGACCATCCAAGAAAAAAATGGATTATGTGCAGCTTATTGGCATATTTATGACAAATAAAAGGCATAGGTGCTGTGTTTTATCAGCCATTTTCTTAATTCTTGTTTATTGGAAAGTGGGAATAATTCCCATGCTAAGATGCACATATTCGTAACTTCTAGATATATGTGTATCTTGTATAACATACCAAATGGTTTAGGTGCTGGTGCAGTTTTGTCCATGCTGTATGCTAGCTGTCATTTTCGTAATATCTGTTTACTGGAAGGTGGATATGGATCCCCATTGCAAAGCATGGGGTAGGACAATAAGACAATATGATGCTAAACATGATTGTGGTGTAATGATGCACTATTAATAATGACAAATCTAAAGTGGAATCATCTATTGTGAAATGGTAGATAAAGGGTCCTCCTGAAAGTACTCTTATCATTTTCATGGAGGTATTTTAGTTATAATAGTAATTATTAGATCATTGAAAATCCTTAAGGAGTAAATATAAGCCATGAGTTCATTGACATTATTTTGCACTTATCAAAGTTATTCTATCAATTTTTATCCATATTTTAGTTTGGTTAGTCTAGATTGAGATTAATTGTAATAGATTTGAGGATGGTTTGTACTAGTTCAAAGATGATCTTTAATTTAGTCATTAGGATTCAAGTTTGGGAGATTACAACTATAGCATGAGGTTTATTTAGAGAGATATTCTATTTGGCTACAATTAAGGTGTCATGACTCGATCTGATGGGATAACTAGCCTGTCAAATTTGTTGTGCCTAGTGGTAGCTCCATGCTGTGACATGTCCTTTGACTCCATCCACGGATATATTTTTTCTATTCGAGCCTCTTACCATGCCCCAATAGTAGGTTGTTTTTGATATACCCATTAGATTTTTATAAGTTAATCTTAATCTTAGCCTACTTCAGATGTGAGACTAATCAGGGTATTACAATCTTCCTTACTTAAGGGCTTGATGTCCTTGTCAAGGTCCAATATAGCCCAGATCAAATCCTGACATGATACATTTGAGGCATAGCTCAACGGTGGTTCCACAGTATGATGTATCCTTTGACCCGTCCACGGATAGTCCTTTCCTATTCAAACTTTTCACCATGCCCCAATAGTAGGTTGACTCTGATATCAATTGTCATGACCCGACCTGATGGGATAACTGTCCTGTCAACTTCGTTGAGCTTAAATTACCATCTAAAAATGCTTAAGCTGAGGTTAATAGTAGTACAACCATCCTTACAAGTCAATCTTAATCTCAGCCTACTTCTAGTGTGGGATTAATCAGGATGTTACATAGGGCTATGTAAATATATTTATATAGTTTTTTAATGTCAAATATAGTTTCTTTTGTCGTTGGCCTTTGGCCTCTTTGTCCATCTTTCTTTGGTTGTTCTTGTAATTCTTTATTTCACTATATGCTATTTATTCTACAAAAACCAAGTGTTATTTAAACTGCTAGTATTTTCAATCCACCTTACTGAAACTTATGATATCAGTTCTATTGTATCTTTTATTTGTTTGACACTGAACGAGTTCTAGGTTTATTACTTGTTAAATTTATATTTATTTAGGATCATTTGCTGTAACCTTATAGTGACAATATCCTGGATCCATAGCTATACAACTACTTATTGAGTACTTTTGTCTAGATATAATGGTGCGGCAAGCAGCTATGGTTGTGAAGTGTATTCTCTTGGTGTATTACAAAGATCGTAAAGGTCGTAACTATCGTCAGCAGGTTAGTCATTTTTAATGTTTTCATTAATTAATAACTTTATGTGATTGTTTTTTTTTGGTGTCATTTCTTTATAGTTTAGATGGCTGGCAATAATGTTATGTTGTGGAATTCTATATCAGTAAATCGAGTCCTTTGCTTGTTTATTCTTGTATCAATCTCATGATGTTCCAGGCATTGCCATTTCTGGTTATGGGAAAAGAAGTCATGCTATTTCATAAAGCCATTTCTTTTGTTTTAATTATTTCTAATTGTTAATTTCATCTTAGTTTCATGTCCTTCGGAAAATCATTTGCTTTTCTTGTGCTATAGTATATGATTTTTGGATAGTTGTAACTCATACGTTTATTTCTTTACCAGTGTCAAATGCTTACTCTTGTGGAGTACCTTCTACTTTTGTACCGTTCTTTTTTGCCAACTCCTGTTTGGTACCGATTTTTCCTGAACAAGGAATATGGGAGTTTCTTTTCATCTCTGACTACGGGGCTATACCTTACTTTGAAGTTGACATCAGCAGTAGAGAAGGTGTAGTATTTTACTGTTTTTCCATAATGAGTTTCCAGTAGTAGTTTTAATATTCTTAAAAGTGCCCATCAAGTTGAAGTTTTCAGGTTGGCAAACATCTTCATGAATTATAAAAAACGAATCCTCTTTGATATTTTTGAGGTTATAATTCCAGGTTCAATCATTTATTTCTGCGTTTAAGGCGCTATCATGCAAGGATGTAAGTTATGGGTCTTATGCAACAGCTGAACAGGTGAAGTCTTGATACTGTTCCAACATATATGAAATCTTAATTTTGTCCATCTCACATATTGTATTTGTTTATCATTCTTTATCAAATGCTTTAAGATATATTTCTAGTCAACACAGATTTATGTCAATGTCAAATGCTTTTAATTACGTGTTGCATCTTTAAAGTCCTTTGCCATAATTTGGTACTGGTTCTGTGCTTTTTTTAGTTTATTTACAATATGGTTACAACACAGTACATTTTTTTATTGATTGTACTCGTATTCATGCACCTGTAGTTTATATGTCAAATTTGGTTATATATATTGCCATTAATTATTTTTTGTTGTCTTTCTGAGATAATTTATCTCAAAAACAGTTATCTGTTTTTACAATCCTTTTTACATGATATAGGACTATCTTCTTTTTCCTCTTTATAACACTTAGCAACTAAGGATATACCTAAACATGACCTCCTTTTCTGGATGCTGGCAAGATGCATGAGAGTGGTAAAAACACATCATCCAATATGTGGTTAGTGAAATATAAATCATCCTCATCATAGTCCAAGTTGTTTGTCATCATTCCATGGTTGGAATCAAACTAACTCACAATCACACTATGGAATATCGAGAAAAGTTATGCCTAGGTTCCAAGGAAGATCTATGATGGAAAAGTGGCGAATATATTTCTCATGTAGATCCTGTGAAGGTGGCACCTATCTGCTTATGTAGGCAAAATTACGGCAAAAGGAACTTACCTAAATACCTTGTTGCAGATTGACAGCAGAAAAAATCCATCTTAGTGTTGTCGTTCAAGTTCATTCATCAAATAGCAATTCTCAGAAATCCTTCATTTGAAAAATTAAGACTCTAGAAGGGTCACCAAGTCCTGTTGTGGATAGAAATGTCCATCTAACAAACATAAACTTACACCCAATGAACAGAATTTAGAAGATGGGACATAAATTGTGAAGGTACATCATCTTCTTGAACAATCTTTTACACTAATTAACAATCTCAGAATGCCTCAATTTATATAATGTGATAAATCATGGATGCATTAGCAATTAACGACAAACGACTATTGAAAATATTATACATGATGAACACCTATTTCACTTGGAGTTGAGCAGACAATGAAGATAACTACTGCTGGATGAAGACTGTGGTTTTTGGAAAGATAAAGTTGGAAATGTAATCTACATTGTCAAACATGGTACTTGTAGTAGTTTAAGCCCTGCGGCCACCATTTTATTGTGCTGTCAAGCTCATTGTGTTCCCTCATGCTGTAGGTCTAGTGATCCTTGGCTAGAATAAGTGGCTAAATTGACATTTGGTGTGTCATTATTTTCAGAAACCAATTGTACCATTTTGTATTGTGGACAAGGGTGTCTCTAACACTACATTTTCCAATGGTCATGTACTCAAGCAGTAAAGTTCTTGCCATTAAGATACTTTAAGAAGGCTACTTTTTGAGCTTCGTTCTGTCCAATGATTTATGCATTCAATTAATTACATTGTATGAAGAGTATGTGATCTTGTTGTTTGCTGATTGTTGCAAAAAATAAAGGGAAAAAAGCAGAACTATCTACTCAGTTGTCATCTTGATATGAGAAATAGGTTTGTTACTTGCATTTTGTTTGATTTGAAATATCATATTAATCATTGATTCATGATTGTAAACAAAAAGAATAGTTTTCCTTATGGAAGAGAGTCTTAAAAATTCTTTCTATCATGTAGGGCCAAACATCAGGGTATCGTATAACAACAACAACAACAACAAAATTGTTAGTCCCAACCATTTGGGGTTGACTGCATGGATCTTTTGTTGTCATTGAGACCTGTACAAAGTCATATGTTTAGTTAAGTTCAGAGTACTTAAATATTTATTTATAGTTTTTATTAAAATACTTTTAGGTCTTCTTCTATCTCTCCTCGTACGACTAAGATTAATCATTTAACCTCTTCTTACTATCGCATCTAGAGATCTCCTAATCATATGTTCATATCACCTGAAATAATTTTTTTCTTATCTTATCCTTTATCGAAATGATACTTAGTTGTTCACGAATAATAGTATTTTTTTTTTTATCTTTCCTGGTAACTATGAATCCATCTCAACAATCACATCTCGACAACATAAACTTTTTGTATATATTGTTTTTGACTGTCCAATACTCAGATCCATGAAGTATTGCTGGTCTCACAACTGTCTTGAAAAAAATTTCTTTTAATCTCGATGATCACACAAGACTCCGAACATCTCTTGCCATTTTAATCATGTTTTTACTCGATGCATAATGTCTTTATGATCTCTCCATCTTGATGAATAATTGATTCAATATACCTAAAGTTTTTATTTAATTGATTCAATATATTCTTTTGTATATTCCTATAATTACTAAATTTACATTTAGAATATTTAGTTTTAATCCTACTTAATCTAAAATCTTTAGTTTCTAAAGTTTGCCTCTATAGCTCAAGTTTATAATTAATTTCACTTAGGGTTTTATCAACTAAGACAATATTATCAGCAAATAGTATAACACCATAGAGGTCTATCATGTAGATAATTAGCAAGTTCCTCCACTATCAAAGTGAAAATTTAGGAACTTAATGTAGATATTTGATGTAATCCTATGCTAATAGGAAACTCACTGGATACACTCCCAATAGTTCTAACACTAGTAGCTACATTATTATACATATCCTTAATAACATCAATATAATTAATGAATACATATTTCTTTTCTAAAATCTATTGTAAGAAATATTTAGGAACCCTATTAGGGTTTTATATTTACATTGCAAATATTCCTTTTTTTTCTTTTTTTTTTGTGATGTTGACGATTCATATCACTTGTTATGTAACAAATGCAGGTAATTACAGCTGGTGATATGTGTGCCATTTGCCAAGAGAAGATGCACGCTCCTATTCTACTTCGTTGTAAACACATCTTTTGTGAAGACTGTGTCTCTGAATGGTAACATAACCATGCCTAAGCTTCTCAACATTCTTAGTTTTTCTTGCTTTTCCGTTCCTCTTTTGCTAGGAATTTTCTGTATACAGCCTTGTAGGTTTTTTGAAATTGGAAGTTTACCACTCTGGTCTAATCATCTATAAAAAATGTGAGCTAAATATGTGCAACTACTTGATCCAAGCAGAAGGCCATGTTGTAAAAACACATGGATAAGACTGTTCTCTTACCTCCCTTTTGCATTAGATAAGTGGGGATTTTTTGAAGTGTCACCAGTGTGCTTGCTTTCGATGAAAATAAGTTAAAAGTTCTATATCCCCTTCTTTTGTCTGTGATGTTAATCATACATACATACATATATGATGTAGTTCCTAGCATTCCTCTTACTTTCATATGCATTATTATTGGAGTTGGAATCACGTTCTGAGTGTTCCTGTTCTTGACCCAGATGTGAAAATTTTCAGGTTTGAAAGAGAACGGACATGCCCATTGTGCAGAGCTGTGGTTAAGCCAGCAGGGCTGAGGTCATTCGGCGATGGTTCCACGAGCTTATTCTACCAGTTGTTTTGATTATTGCATCTGTAACATAAATTGATTTCCTCGGATGCCAGATTGGTCAGAAGGATGCAGGCTGACCTTGCTGTGGTGCTGTTGCTGTTCTCTCATGATTTGATCTCCATGTCACCTCCCGGGAGTCTTTTGATCAAAGTTCGATGAGACACCTCCCCATCTATCCATATT